GTGTGGCCGAATTGCAATTCTAATTAAGTTTCAGCTGCTGGAGTGTGTGCTAGATGGTGGTGAGGCTTCTCTCTCTTTTTTTTTCCTTTCCCTTTTGCTGGTACTAAAGGCTCATGATTTTTGTGGCTGTTCTCTTCTCCTTTTTTATTTTTTTAAATAGCTGTCTCCATAGCATGTTGAGTGTCTGCTGCTCTATTAGACTAAGAGTACCGTTATTTTGTGCAGGTGTTAATGCTAATCCTCACCACCACCGTATGGAAGTAAATGAGCCCTAGAACTCGGAGCTTGGAAGAAAGCCTCTGTGATTTGCAAAATGTCATTTATATTCTTGTTGAGTACCAAATCCTCAACTCTGAGAGAAGGTGATGCCTGACACCCTCAAGTAATACGGAATAAATATATCATTTCCCTGTTTAGATGCTGTGCTAGAAACCTAAGCAAAAGTATGGTCGCGATGTTAAAATGTGTAATGGTTAATAAAAAAGCATGTTCATTGTGTTCAGTGTGGGAACAATGCTTTGTATTGCTTTGAGTGACCACTGAATAATAACCTACTTGTGAACCTATGATGGTCAAACCGCAGGTGACAGCAGTTAAGTGACTTGAGGCAGGATGCAGATTGGGAATGTTAAAGGGAAATTATGTGGCCACAGTTAATAAATTTCACTGATTCAAAAAACGAGACTGTAAGGTTAGTGAAAATAATGAAGACGCACCGCAGACAGTTTCTCTGCTGTAATCTGAGCTACATAAGATTTTCACCCTTCTGACCACAAGAATGACAGACGTTTGAAAAACATGGTTGAACATTTAGGTAAAACATACTGAAAAATCCACATCTGGTCAGCAGTCCAAATACTGACATAAGTAACACATGGGTAATGATACGTTAGATTGCTCTATAAAATCTCCAATGGAGTTTGAACGTTTTCAGCTTCTGGGGACATGGGTTTCAGGTGTACAGGGAAGATCATATTTAATAAACTAATGTGAGATGTAACAGAGTGCATTTTTGAGCATTTTACATTTAGAATACTCTGTTGTACATTACAAGGGAACCATATCTGTGCAAACTGCAGAACTTGGTTTTTAAGCAAAGATGGGGGCAGAGGTCCCATGGCCACCTTTTTTTGTGGCAGCATTTGACTTCTTGTATACAGTCACGGAGGGTCGGTATTGTATATACCTACAAAAACCTCCGCAAAACTAGAGTGCACTTTTCACTGCAATTGGTTCTCCCCTCCTTACTCCTTTGCGCTGCTATTATTACACCTTTATGTTTTCTCCTCTTTTTTCAAAGAGATCTGATTGTAAGAGGTAGTTTTGCATTACATAAACACCCAGTTCATTTAGTGGGAGAGGTAGGACAGGATACTGTTACCTTTTGAAAACTATTAAGTAACATCGCTTTTCCCTACTGTAATTTTTGTGAACTGATTTGTGGACTTCCAACAGTCTTTTGGAAGAGAAACACCTGTTTTCTTTGCCATCAAAAGCTGTCTGGCTCCTTTTGGGTACCTCTTTACTGACTTGACTTTGGCTGGCAGAATTAGGCTCTGAAGCCCCGTGGAGTGGGGCAGTGGCTGGTGACAACTACTCACCAGCGCAGATCTGATGGGTAGTCGATTTTCTTGCTCTGAGAGTCCACCTGCAATCTATTTCTGACTCCGACAGATGTTTCTTCTGGTTTAGGCTAGTGGAAACCTTCTGGTCTGTTTATAACCCAGACTCTACGGGCCTTCCTCAATTTATGTCCCTTCTTTCTCCCATCTCCTACTCCTGAGAATAAAGGAAGAAAACGTGCACCTTGCCCACGCTCCGTCAGTCGTGTGTCAAAACTTCTGCTTCCTGTGTTCTGCCTTGTCTTCCCTAAACCAAAGGCGTAGCAGCAGCGTTCATCGCGTAATGAAAAAATGTGGAATATTCTTAATTGTCTTTGTTGTAGCAGCACTAGCAGGTGTTGTTTGACAGGGTCTTCCAGAGAGTCTTGCGGCTCTCGGCGAGACCGCACGTGGGTTAGGTGAGCTGCCTCCTGCACCCCTCATCCCCTGGAGATGAGGAGTGACGTTACAAAGGGACGCTTATGTGGGTATTTAGTGGGGTCCAGCCAGCAGCAGAAATACATCAAAGGTAATCTTAAAGAAGGAACCTTTCTTTGCGGCTTTGTCTTTTTATATTCTGAAAGGTCATTTGTGAACCGGCTGTGCCAAAAAAGGCCTTTCCCCAGAAGTTTACTGTTGTTATTTTTTACTTTTTGATTATAGTAACTTGCTTATCCCTCAAACAGACTAAAGAACAATAAACAAATACAAAAGGAAAAGGAACAGCTCATCAATAACAAAGACCTGCGTTTTAAAGCTTTGAGTGTACTAACTCTTACATCTCACTCCAAGCAAAGCAGGAGTCCTGCAGAGAAAGGAATCTAAAAGATATGAAAATTATAAAGATAGTAAAAACAATGTTTGGTAGGGATATTTTAACTTGTTGTGGAGAACTGAGCTTTAAAGTGCAGTGTACTCAGGAACATGGCTCTTCCCCCACTGTTGCACATTGTGGAACGCGTGGGGAATTCTGTATTTCAGTCCTTGCAAAATATTGTAACCTAGATGAGTGCAGAAAGTCTAGCTTTCTCTTCAGGTTTAAATTTTGAAATTGAGCAACTCAGAAGTGTTGTGTGGCTCCAAAAACTAAATGACATCTAAACCTAGCCTTTTGAAATCATATCAAAATAGTCTCTTGCAAGAGGCAACAATACAGTCCACAAGCGTATCTTGTTCCTGTGTTCTTTTTATATTTATTTATTTATTTTCAAACTCTGAGTACAAAGAAGGCACTAACCATGGATACTGAAACTGTGCAATTTGGTGTAATTATATTCCCCCCCATAGATTTAATGAAGGACTTTTAAGTACAATTTATCTTTGATAAATAGTCCCTCTGCACAGAATGTTTATTAGATTGACAGCAGAATACACTCTGCAAGCTTTTTGTCCTCGCCACTTATGACTCAGATGAATTTTAATAGGAGTAAAAAGCTTTTATTTGCACGGTAATTTCACTTAAGGATCATATCCTTCAGAAACTGGCAGACACTTGTATGTCTTGATTGCAAAACAGACACTCAAGAGTAAAGAAACATGCATAAGATGTTATTATTTGACTTGTCACGCGGCTGCAATTCTGTTTGCACCTTATGTCATCAAATCTATAGGCATCACCTCCCCTCTCTCTGGAAGCATACGCGCAAGTGTGCGTATGGGCACGTGTATGCAGGCACACACGCACGGAGACTTTTAGGAAAAGAAACTGGAAGGAGCGTGCTGTGTCGGACGTAGCTGCTTGTGCAGGGAGAAAACTCGCTGCATTTTTGGGATGGAAGAGGCAAGTGCCACAGTCATGATTGTTGTGATGATGCCGACAGGAGGCTTGGAGTTAGAGCAGCGTACGTTGCGTACAAAATGGTGCTGGTTTCCCTACGCCGCTATCGGTCATAGCCAAGGCAGGCGTTTGGGACTGGGTTCTCAAATTTTTGGGGGCCGCTTCCACCTTCTGGGGTTTTGTTCCATTTTCTGAGGTGGAGATTGAGCAAACGCTCAACCGTTTGCTTCTAGTTCTGCAAGTATTTCTGACGGAACAGCTGCACCGTTCGTGGCACATCGTCCTGTGTGTCCAAACGCCATGTACAGAGGATGGTAACGTTGCTTTAATTTGGCTTTGAAAGCTGCTTTCTGAAGATGTCATTACAGAGTTAATCACCTTTTGCGTGTATGTCTAAAAGCCTTGTTCTGCTCTCTACAGAAGCAGAAGGTAGAGTCCCCCTTTACCTTCACCATAAGGGTATCGGGTTTTTTCTGTCTGTGCAAAAGTGAGAAGTAAAGACGTTTTATTGCTAATAAAACAATAGCTAATTGTTTTGGAGGAAAACATACTGTTCAAAGCAAGGTGTTGAACTTTACATCAGCAAAATACACATTTGAATTGTAAATGCAGCTCATCCAATGCTCATTATTAAAACCTTTGTGTAAATTATTGACGAAGTGTGGTGCTGGTCTTCCCTCGGTTGGCCCTGCTGAGGCAGGACTTTGGCGCAGAGACCTGCTGCCATCTACTGGCTTTTTTCATTTATTTTCGAGGGCGCTGGGACAAACGCGAGGACCGGCTGCCTTAAGTGCATTGAATTATCTGTCAAAGGGATGACAAGTTTTTAAAACCTAAAAGCCTGGGGCTCAAATTAGGGTACAGTCTTAGATGTTTTCAGAAAGGTTTTGTTTGAAGGGTTGCTCTCGAACACTTGAGGCTCATCATATTCTTTTCTATTTCTAATTGCTATAAAACATACTAGAGAGAACATTTTTTTTTTCTTAAGATAGATAACAACTGCTGGGCAGTTTTTATTACAGATAAAGTATATTCAGTACAACCACAATGTTCCATCATTCTGCCTGTGCATGAAAAAATGGGAGTTAAAGTTGATTAATATGTTCTGATCACAAAATCTAAGCATGTTACAAACTTCAAGCATTAAATACATGATAAAAAGAAATGTTTAAAAAGTAAACATAATGTTTAAAATTAATTAGGTAATTGAAAGTCTAGCAGACTTCCCCAAAAGGTCAGGTTCCAAATCAGCACTGCACTGGGAACAAATCCCTCAATATTCCTTATCTGCTAGAGATAATGCACAGTAAGCAAAAGGATATTTCTCTTCTTTAAATTTGTGTCTCCCCTTTCTACCCTCAATTTTTAAATGAATCTGACATTACTGTACTTGATTCTTTCCTTTTATGTGCTTATTGCTGCAGATGGGGGTTGCATATTTTTCTTTCTACATCCTGAAGCCGAAACTCTGAATAAAGATTTGAAACAGTGATTTTTACACACTGCTGCAAAGAATTGGTAACAGATGTATTATATAAAAACATGCCATAAAATAGAGCAGATTATCGACTGGAATTCACCAAGGTGCAGTTTTGTAAAACATTCCTCTTCCTATTCTTTAGTACAAATTGCAAATACTGACGAAGGTTGCTGCAGAGCTGAGCAAGTACATGCCAGAGAAAACAGCAGAGGACACCTCCAGCATTTTGAGGTCTCCCATGCCTGGAGCAGTGGTGGCAGTTTCTGTCAAGCCTGGGGACACGGTAAGAAATGTGATCTATATATCTGCATTTTCATTATATATTCCACGCAAATTTCTCCTTGGTGCAACTGAAACTGCAGGTCAAAGTTGTTGTGGTTTTTTTTTTTTTTGGTATATCACCTGTAGAATAAAATGTACTGAAAGATATGTGCTGCTCTTTGTTTGAGTTATAAACTAATAAGGAAGTAGCGCAATTCAAATTAAACTGCCTTTAAAAAGAAATTTTTCATCTGTATACTAGTCTGCAGCTGAAACTCAACAAATAGCCTGGATTTGTATCACAAAATGTCTTTGTGGGGTGAAAAAAAATGTGTCTGTGTGTATATGAATGTAAATATGCATAAGTATGCCTATGCTGTTAGTGCTAGTAGGAGAGGATTGTTGATTTTCTGCCCTGAAGCAATGAAAATATTACTAAATACGGGGGACACAGAATAGATATTTTAAGTTTCTTTACTTCATTCCTCCCTTTTTTTTTTTTTAAGAATTCCAGTGTTAGCATTTCAAAAGACATATGAATTTACTGAATTGGGAATTCTGTGTTGGGAATTCCCAGTCTCTTATGGGGATCATATTGTCCTGCAAAGGAAATAACCGTGATAAACTGGGTATTTCCAGTGCTTCTTGCCTCACATCAAGCTGGAAACAAATGTAAATGCAGTGTTTTAGAGTTACTTATAAACGCCTACTTGAACTCAGCTTTCTATGAAATTCTACCACATTGTATCATATGTTATTTCTAAGGTTGGGGCCCTTATCTCTCATAACCATTGAAAGCATTACAGTGATGCAGGCACAGGAATATTTGGATCAGATGGTGCAGATTAATTTTGAAGTACCGTTGTCAGTTAAATGATGCCATAAACGTGTATGTGGCACTTAAATGCAAACAGAAAGCTTTAGGCACAGAGTTCATAATTTATGGCAACAGAAACTACATTTTCTTGAGAGACAATGTAGATACGGGATCAAAATCAGAAATCCAAAATTAACACTGCACTTACTATGTGGCAGTCATCAGTCGTGCTGATGAAGTGATCTGTTTGCTTACATTTTGCTATGATGCCACGTTTGGTTTTGGAATAGATGATTGTTTCTGTCTATTTACAGAGAGAAGGGAATCATGTTAATATTAAAAATCTGTAGATGCTAATGTTTGTATTGATGAAAAGAAGACATTTCTGAGAAAACAGAACTAAGTACAGCTGAGTAACAAATAGCAAGAGAGAAATGCTTTTATCTTCTAGGCTTACCTTTCTAGTTTTGAGATTCTGTACATGTGCACACGCTGTTTATACTTTTAAAAACAGCAGTATTCAATTAAAATTAATCGCTGTGTCATGACATGGACAGAGAAATCTGTGATTTCTGTGTCTAGGCAATATGAATGGCTGAGTGAGTGAGATCTTAAACAGATACTTTTCTTTGTTTTTGCAAAGAATGAAGGGAAATGTTATTAAGGCAAGGATTTTGAGCCTCTTTTAAATGTTAAAGATTTTTTTTGAGAATTCTGCTAAATGTTACCAGCCCTCTTGCCCTGAAGAATAGTTCTTGTTGTCTTGAAGGAATAGAACCAGTGGAGAAGGAGGCCAGAGCCAAAGGGATTTTAAGTCAATAAATAAATGAACCTCCCTCCACAAATCCACAAGTGGTACAATGCATCAGAGCACAAGTTGCTAAATAATGCGTGGAGATTTTTTTTTTTTCTTCTTCTCTTCTCCTGCAGCTTCTTGCTGGAGGCACTGAGTGGCAGAGCATTTAAACGGCATAATCTATGTTCTGCTGACCTGAGCTTGTCAGTGCTAATTGTGTGGCTTTAATTGCAAAAACACATTTGCGTTATTGAAAAGGGTTTAACTTAAATCCTTCTTTTTCAGGACTAGTGTCAAAACGTTAAGAAAAGGCGAGCCGGCAAGTGAGATGAGGCTAGCATCAGCTATTGGCACTGGATAAGCGGTGGGATGGTGTGATTCAGATTACACATCTTGGCTGTCCATCAGAAACCAACTCACTCACTACAGCTGTTCAAGGCGTGATGGGCAGGGGACTGTAGCTCCCTGATAAATGCAGCTCTTCTTCTTGCACCGCTTGGGAGAAGTCTGATTTCTTTAGTGTGCTGGAGAAACGGGAACTTAAGTAGCTCCTGGTTTGTGTTTGCAACTGCGTTTGGCAGCTCAAATTTGCACAGCAGTGTGGAAACAGCACGGCTGAAAAATGGGAGAGTGTCAGGCAGTCGTCCGTCCTTCCACTCGGGTGTTGCAGCCGCTAGCGATGAAGCTGCCTGGTTATCAGCTGCTCTGAGATTGTTTTCTCCTCACCCGTGATCCACGCTAAGTAGTGTTAGCACAGGAGCCCAGAGAGATAGCGCTCCCTAGCACAGGGAGCTGGGCTGCCCTGCCCCTCCTTCAGGTGTAGCTTCACAATCAGTGAAGAAACTCCTAGAGAGGAATGACGTCTCATCTTTGAGTAGCCGCCCTTGCAAACTCGTGTTTGGTGCCTGCGTTTCAGCTGTCGGGCATCATGCCCGGTCAGGTAAAGCACATGGGCTTTGTTAGTCCCTCTCTGTGTTAGTTTTCTCCACTTGATATGTTGGTGTTTTGCCTTGAAGCGTAGTCTTCCCCTGTAGCTGCTGTAGCTGAAAAAGACTTTGGTCCGGTGAAGCCCGATAGAAGATGGTGAGAGCGACCTCTATCCAGCTGGTCTCTGCTAAGTAGCTTTCAATTCATTTTTGCCAAAGGACATTGCATATACAAGGAATTTATTTTCTTTTGTCTGTAAGATGATCTATAGATTTTAATAACACAGTGGGGAAGTGCTGTTTGTCATTTAGAGAGAAGCAGAACTTGCAATGCTGCCAATTTTTAAAGCTTTTTAGTTACTTTTTACTTTCTTTATTTTCCTTCATGTGATCAGAAGACTGTAATTAGTTGTCACTCAGTTATTCCTGGAAACACAATGGAGGCACTCAGAAGCAGAAAGCAACATAAACAACAAAACAATTTGAAATCTGGCTGACGGGGAAGAAGGTTCCTATTATTTAGGAAAAGAAGGTTTAAATTTAGCTTACATTCCTCATGATAACACAGTCACGTTATATAGGACATACCCATTCGCGGGGGGATGGTGTTTGTATATTTATTCAGTAAGTAGATTGTTAACGATGAGTGTGCATTAGAATGAAATTTGGTCTTGGGAGAGTTACTTTTTGGTTCCCCGTAGTGCCAGAGGCCAGAGAAACTGCTGGGCTTCAGGAGTCCAGGCAGGGGACTCGTTCTGTTTCCGCCAACACCGATGGCAGCAGAAGCCAGCCCTGCCAGCACGCCACAGTGGTTTTATGCCGGGGTGGTGGAGGAGACGCTGCGCACTTTTAATCTCCCCCCAGCTACTACAAATACAGGACCATACCAAAGCTGCACAAATTCACTGCTTGACCTAGAGGGCAGGCAGTAGGAAAGCACTTGCAAAATATTTCTTCTTTGTGTTCAGTTACTTGGCTGGATTATTGTACTGAAATTCCAGGAGCAGGGGAAGCCTGAGATCGTGGTTGAATGGGTAAAGCAATGCTGTCACCCCACAGAGTGCTCCTAGAACTGATTCCAACCTTAGTAGTCTGAACCGTCCACAGCAACAAAACAAGATCTGCACTGTCCTCATTGCCTTGTAGCCTTTGCTGTATTTTCACCTATGGATATCATCTTTGCTTTTTCAGCTTTCCACATGTCAGAAATGCAAAGATGTTTTTCTTTTAAGCTCTAAGTTTCTATTGGTTGTTTTTCTTTTGTAATTCAATTACTCAGAACAAGTGGCATTACTAAGCCAAGCATTGGTCAATAATATAACATGAGTGCTGGTAGCCTAAATCACTTTATTAATGAACGCCCCCATCCATAAATATGTCAAAGGAAAGCACCTCTGGGTAAACACTCTAGTGTTACTGAATCTTTGTAGGACTACAGCCAAAAAAAAAGGACAGTTTATTTTGACCTAATTTTCCAAATTTCCTCTCCTCTTCCCAGTATATTCAAGATTACCCTAAGTTTTAGAGGTAATCAATCACTCAACCATTCAAATCACTCTTTAAATGAGTTTTTCTCATATCAAAATTTCTCCTGATTTCAGATTTATGCCACCAAGATGTTAACTGTTAAATGTACATGCTAATTATCGCCCTAATTTCAAAAGTGGGTAACTTGAAGGCTGGTGGTTTTTTTAATTGTATAACGTACAAAAACATGTTACTTTCAGTGATTCTGTGTTTTAAAAACAACCGATGAAGGTATTTTAACCTGCTTTACAGTTCTTTTCATTGCATTCCTCTTCTAGTTCTGTTACATGGACGTTATTTTAATTTCTCATGTTATTCTTCAGAAGAACAGTTCAAGAAACATCTTTCTCCACAATTTTCCATTTCACAAGCATTGGAAAGTTCTTGCTATGGGAAAAGATATGTTTTGCTTGACCTCTGCTGCTGAAATGCTCACTTGTGAAAACCAAAACAAAAACAAGTTCCTCAGTTCTGTTTCTCCCTATGATGTTCATTTTCATGAAGGAAAAGGTAGAGTTATGAAGTTACCTGTTGCCATGAGCCAGCTGTGTGTTATTTTAAATCATATTTGCCATTCAGATGTCAAAATCTAAAAATGAAAAGAAAATAAATTTTCTCTTTCTTAGACTTATACTGCTTGGAATTTATAACAGAGAAATAACAGCCAGGAAAAACTTTAAAAATTTATTTGTTGAAGTAACAGTTTCACATTTTATTTGGTTGAATATGATATCAATAATTTATTAAGGTATTCTCAAATTCAAATAAGATTCTTTCTCTTGTGTGCTAGCCTTTCTTTCCCCCCTTCTATTGCTGTTTTTCCTTTTTCTGTTCCTTTGCTTCCTTTCCTCCCTCCTGTCCTTCAGCAATCCCAGAGCAAATATAAATTGCATTTTTCAGTTGAAGGCAGTTTGCAACCTTGACCAAATGTGGTCACAAACCTCACACAGCTTTTA